GCGCGCGCGCTTATATTCTCTCTCTTTGGTACTGTAATGCCTTTCGGGCTGTACACACGCCTTCTTCTTCCTCTCGAGCTTCTCGCGTGTACACACACACACACATGTGTATGCGAGCTACTCTTACACCAATGCATAAACGCGTACACTCGCGCAAAAGTACTAGAGCTGTGCATTATGTACCTTTCAGACTTTAGCAACTTTAATATAAAGTCCTGCTCAAGGTCAGGCTCTCGGAGCTAAATCAGCCTGGCCTTACATCCGCGTGATTGTAACGAGCACTTTGCGCTTGTCCGAGTAATCTGCCAGCGTCTAATTATTCTTTCTCAATGACGACTGTTTCGAGAAATAGATTGCGCGTCTAGACCTAATTTGTAACGAAGCGGAGCTAAAAAATTTACTCGAACGAGGAGTGATTGGTCGTTTGATCGGAGGAAATGATATCGTCCAATGCCTTGGTAAAAGTACAAAGCAACCAAGCACAGCACCTGGAACGAGCGGCGCGTGCCATTTGTTTTATCATCATTACCGAATTTATCGAGGCAGCTCTTGCAATGTTTTAATTGAGAGCGCTTGAGTAATGGCTCGTGCGCCACGCACATATATATTTATCTATGTACAACATATAAATCGTTCTATTTAGAGAAAATATCGATCTATATAAAAAAAGCTTCGAGCGAGATTATAGTAAAATTTCGAAACTTTGTAGCGCACCAATAGCTGCGATCAGCTGTCGTATGAAAACAGCAAATTTCATTGAAATGTTGAGTTGATCATCGAGTCGATGCCCGGAGCATGGAGTGTGTCTCAACTAGAGGCCTGTGTGGTATAGCGGCTGCAGCGATTTATATAAATAGCTCGATCATAAAGTTATCGTGTAGAGCGCCCGTACATACAATTTATACAGACGACTGCTGCAAAATCACCGAGTGGGGAAATAGAGAAGAAAAATCGTTCGCTCGAAGAGCAGAGACGAGCGACGAGCTTGTTTGGCATCTATAGCTCTTTATGCTATATTATAGACTTTTAAGCGACGGTATCAAGTCATCAAGAAAATCTGGAGAATCGCTCGAATTTCCTATGCACAATGGCAATTGCCGTAGCGAGCCGAGAAGCATCAATGAGCGCATGAACATACACGAGAGCTCGTAATGCTCCATTCGACAGACTGGAGCGTGACGAATGTCCAACATGGCATCCGCCTTGTAATACACATAATATAATTTTCTCTAGGGCGGGATAAAAAGGGGTCCTTCAGCTCGGGCTTTTGTCAGCTAATCATTGCGGATCGCGTGACAAATCGTCTCGAGGGCGCGCGCATCGCGACTCACCGCACGCACTATATTCGACAATTTATGAGCTTTGACTTTAGATTCGCTCGGAGTCTCGCGCGGCTTACGCGACAAAAGGTGTCGGAGCTATAGCTTCGCTCATCGCTCGTGAAAAGCAGCCTGTGTGCGCCGCTCGTGCTCTCCTCTTATGTACACTATTTATAAATGGATTGTACACACTTATATAGATCTGCGCACAGTGCAGGCCCTGTGCGATGAAAAGTTCTTTTACACTTCCTCAATGTGAATATAATGGCCGCAGAGTGAGAGAGCGGCTTTTTTTCTTTTCATTACGCCCAAGTAACCCGAGTCCAACAATAGCCAAAGCCAAGTCTTCGTGATTAAAACTCAATTCCAGCTGTTCCTGCCATGGATCCTCTTCTGTATTATAATATACTTACTTACTCGCCACCAAAGCGTGAAGCCGCAAACGAGAGTCATAATGGACTGTATTATATTTTCAATGAAGACATAAATAGCCGTTTGCTCAGGTTTTGGTTGAGAAATTTTTCAAGGTGTCGACGTATACGAGTACCGTAGAAAAGTCACTTTTCATCCTATTATAAACGATGCTTCAGATGCTTTCTCAAAAGTTCGCGCGGCTAATGCCAAAGTTTGCTGAGCTTTTTTATCGAGGGATGTCCTGTATTAATTATGACAATGACTTTTAGTAGTGAGGATTAGAAGTTAGTTGTACAATGCTACAAAATTAAATTATTATGAGTATTTATAATACTGTTTACTTTTTAAATGAAATACAATCTTGTATAATGAGGCTTAATAGGCTGCTAGTAGCGGGATGATTTTTATAAATTACAAATTTGGCAAGAGAACTGACAGCATTGATTGATGCATAGCAATTATTTAAATTGATCGTTTTAATCTCACTTTTCATGTAAGAGTGAGAGTTTGATAATAGAGTTAATTGAGTTTTTCAATGAACTCAATTGTGAAAAATATTTAAAGAGAGTATCAAGTAGTAACGCGACGCAATGATTGCGATGATAATTCTCTAAAGAAAGTAGCAATTTATCTTTTAATGGTAGAAACATTAATTACAATCTTGTTTTAAAAATATTTGAAAATTTGAAGCAAAATTCCATTTAACCAGATACAAAATATCATCATTTCAAATTACTATTGGCATCGATAAATACTGCAATTGTAATGAATTCTTGGTATACAGTAAATCGCAGAGTTTATCACAAATAAAGGGCTTATTGCACTTCTCCCAAGATTTAGGTGGGATTTCAAAGCATCAATAATTTCAATGTATTGGGATGTTCACAACCATTTATTTTTTATAAGCAGATATTCCTTGGGTTTATCTAAAACGATTCAAAAAGGTAATTCTTGAAAAATTCAGAAACCTTTGAAGGTAAGCTAATTTCAATTACTCGAATTCATTTTAAAATATGTTAATCTATTTTAATTATAGAAAATAAAAATATTTGAAGAAATCTCTTACTTCAAAAAAGGTATACATTTTCAATAAAGTTTTCTGAGATGTCTATTGAGCTTTTTTGAAAAAGTCGAATATCTCAAAATTTCCACAATAAGTACTAAAGACCATTACAATATAAATTCAGATATATTTAGGTATATTACAAAGCTTTTGAATTTCACTGATAATATAATGATCGAATTTCTGGCACAAAATATTTCCTTTTTACAAATCATTAAGACTTTTTTCATTTCTTAAACAAAAGTCTAGCCATTATAAAGTATCATGAAAACGTTTAACTAATTTTCTGGGTGGCTATTTGGACTAAATTTATTGTAGTTTTTTATTGTAATGTGAATATAAGGGTCTTCATTTTCAAAAACTGAAGACTTCACAATAGTTGAATTTTTTTTAGAGATATGTTGAAAAAATATAAATATTTCTATCCGTTAAATCGTAAATTTTTCAAATAGTTTTAAAAAAATTGTATAGTATACTTTTTTACATAAAGCATTATAATTTTAAGGTACACTTCGATATCCGTTTTAAATGTTCGATCAATTGCAGGAAAAAAGGTTTTGAGCAAGGCTGACTCAAGGCTAAGCCAGAAATTTTCCAATCTTCAGCAAAAACCTTAAAGTGAATAACCGCTTTCAAGTTTCTGAAAAGAGATCCTGACTAATATGTTGTCCAAACAAAATTTTTTGAACTATTTCAGTTATCAGAAAATCGACCATATATTCGGATTTAAATATTATTTTAGTACTTTCCAAACTGAGTTAGAGGTGATCGACAAAAGTGCACAAAAATGCTTTTTGTAATTTCCGCATCGAGAAAAAAATTAATTTTATTATAATTAGGTGTTAGGTCTGAAAACTGTCAAGTTGAAACTTAAATAAAAATTATAACTCAAAACTATTTAAATCTACTCAAATTTTAATTATTTGTGCTGAAAAGGTATCACAACTCAAGTCCAATTTTCGTGTTTTTGATAAAAACGCATTTTCAGTTAAATGGAAGTACATAATTTTAGATTCAGACTTTAGTTCTCAAACATGATACTTAAGTTATTAAGAAAATATGGATTTGAGCCCTTCAACGTTTTGCTTTCTCTTATTTCTCTGGAAATATGTCATTGTGCACAATGGGTGCGTTCACAGTAGCCACTCGTGGAAAGGCAACTCAATACCGCTCTTTGAAAACTTGCATATCGATAGGAAATTTCCTCAGCTTTCGATTGAGACTATTTAGAAAAATCTTAAAAATGCCCTTTTTGAGATATTCGACTTTGAAGGTTTTCCGGCAATTTTCTCGAGGAAAATGAAAAATTTTTACATAATACCCAAGACCGACTCGTCGAGTTACGCACAAATATAAACACTTCGAGGTCCGCGTATCTAGCGTGGCGGGTGTCCCATAAACTGACCACACATTTTTGAAAGAATTGAATATAGGTTAGTATTAATCGTGAAATGACTTGAACAAATGATTGGTTGTAATTAAATATTATTTATTGCTTTAAATCACAATTTCAATTACAACATGAGAACATTTAACAAAACATTTTAAACTTAAATAATTTACTTATTAATTATTTTTGGTTTCAATATTATTATACTCTTTACGTAACTAATTTTTATTTTCTTTATTTGAATCTAATTTTCCATATTTGTGCATCTAAATCTGCTCTTATCTTCCGATTTTCTTCTTGTTGTATTTTACGCACTTGAGCCAACTGTTTAGCTGTTTCTTTTTCATTTAGAGTCTTAGCTAGGTGATCATTCCATTCTTCGGATGAAAGAACGCGAGAAATTTTTGCTTTACCTTTTTTCTTTGGATTTGTAACATCAGGAGGGTGATAGAATGTTTCCTTCATTATATTTCTTTAAAATTTGGAGCTACATTTGCATTATCGAGCTCTAAAATAAAATTTTAATATTTATATAAAATGTAATAATAATTTTGCAATAAAATTTCAAACCTTTTGATGTACTAGCAATATTAGTTATAATATTCAAAATTCGATCTTGTTGATTTCTATTTGACGCATCGCGTTTAGTGGTCGACAAATCCAATACATCAAATGAGGACTGATCTTCGAAATTCGGTGACGATGAATTTTTATATCCACGAAGTGAATCCTTTTCAATTGAAGAGTTTGAGTCATATGACTCAATCGTTTTTTTTGAATAGAGAATGTTTACGATGAAAATTATATTGATACACTCGGTTCATGTTCTAATCAAAGTAATAACGATATTGATACAATAAAAATCACTTTAATTAAAGTTTAGTTTTTCATAATTATAAGCTTACTGTGGATTTCTCGAGGTTCATCATGGTTTGATACTAGGGAATTTTTTTAAGTGCATGTTAAAGTAGGCTGGTTACTCGTTTGTTCTTGATGCGATGAGCTTGAGTCGTTTGACTCGCCATTTTGAACACGAGATGAATTAATTGCGATGTCGATAAAATTCCCCTTAGGAACTTTTTCTGTGATATACAATTATTGTACGTTAAATAAAGTAATATAGTTATGCAAAGAAGTTGCAAGCTTACCATTGAATTCTGACGGTATATCATCATGTGGAATTACTAATAATTCAGTGAAATGAACCCGTTTTAATCGGTTCGAGTTCGAGGTGCGAATCAGTTAAAAGCCCAGGTTATCACCAGACTGGAATGCGTTCTAAAAAACAATATTTTAAATGAGTGTGCGTAGGAGAACACCAGGGACAATGCTGATCTTCAAGCCTACGACCAAGTCGGGGACGATTAAAAAAAGCAATTTAAAGCAGTTTGCAATAACCATACTACTCGGCTTTATTTGTATCGTAGCTCCAGCTATGCCAGGATACCCCGGCTAACATGGCTACTGTGGACGCACCCAATGCTGCAATTAAATTTAGACGCTTTACTCATCTAATTTAAGCCTTTCACCTAAACGTAGAGATTATAATGAATAGGTGCTTTTTATCATAATATAAATTTCTACAAAAAATGGATTCAAATCTTTTTGCCTTTAGAGAAATAAATTCATGAATTCAATTGTTTTGAAATGTATGTAATTGAATAATATGAAAAATTTGTAACACATAATAACGCCGAACATTAAAAGTATAAAAAAGACATGTTTATGGCAATTATGAGCTTTTACCTGCTGCTGCCAAGCAAATAAGACATAAATACTCGTTCTTCAACTTCCCCATGATCATTTCACAGCAATCGATTGGCAATTTTCCGCGTGTCAGCTCGAAAAAAAATCCAGTGCCCATCGTAAGCAAAATCCTCTTAATCGATTCTCGCGCATGTAGGCAAAACACGCCTGGAGAGGTCCTTTGGGAAGCAAATACTCACTATATCATGCACGCGAACTCGCAAAGATCATGTAGTCCAAATGTGTGAGTAATTTCGTCTCCTCTCTAGTTCTTAATCGGGTTAGGTCATAGAGGGTCAAGCCTGGATCATTATCACTAATCATTAGCGATTTCGCTCTGCTCTTGAACTTTTCATCGTCATACCAGTCAGGAATCGTCGGCATTTCAAACAATACGTGTTTAGCAAACAATTTCATTATCGTCAGAGCGTCGCTTCGGTCCAATTTGTATCCTCTTTTCTCAAAATGTTCGAAGGTAAACATAGCGTTAGACGCTCGCTTGATTTTGAAATCTTCAAACCTTTTACTTTCAATCACTTTAAATGCCTCATCGAAATGACGCTCAGTTGGAAAAACGAACCTAGACAAATCGGCATCATTCGTTCATCAACGGCGCCACTTATTTGTATTTTTTAATTTTTACGCATACATTTTTTTTCTATTTATATAAGTATTTAAATAAATTATTATAATGTGACAGGAATTACGATTAGAGGAGGGATGAGACGAGTTATAAACCCGAATAAAAAAGTCCCAAGTTCCTAGTCTGATCTATTCATGAGATCTTTTTCCATCGATTTTGACTATCACGGAAACAATATTATAAGTATAAAATTGCAAATTATGATTATGAAAAGTTACTATACCGAATATAAAACGCGTTGCATCTTATGTCATTATGCGGAGCAACGATATTACTCTGATGAAAATTATTCATCGGCGTTTGATTATGTAATATAAAATAATTTAATAAATGTGTCAATTTAACAAATAATTACCACGTTGTATTTGGAGTATATTGTTTCCTTGATCCAATGCAAGTAGGCTTGACGCGTGATTGAAAGTAAACATTGCTAATACCCGAGGAGTCGTATGCGTGCGGCTTGTCGCTCTCGCAGCCTCTCGTACTAGACATTGTGTAGTTGGTGTATGGACTGTAGATGTCGCATCGCAAACCCCAAGCGGTAACGTTAATTTCAGAAAGTATATAATGAGATGGGAAAGTATCTATCGAATTTTCATCGTTTGATCTCACTAAACTCAAAATTATCACGTCACATTTTTGTCCTTGAAAGGCATCAACGTTATTTACTTTTACTAGTTGCCGCTGAGCGCGCTACGCGCGCATGTTACATTACGGCTTATATATAAATAGTACAGAAATAAAATACAAATAAATAAATAAAAAACTACATCAAATAAAACATAAATTTTGTACCAATCATCTTTTTTTTTATTTGTTTAACATCAGCATATATCATTTTATTTGTTAAACATATTATTATTTTATAATATTCATAATTAATTAATCTTAAATTAATAATTAATATCATTTTTGGATATTATTAAATATACTGTTTATATAATTAAATGTATTAATAATAATTAAATTTATTCATATTTTTCACTGACATAATCAGTAATTTCTGCCAGATCATCAAAACTGGCTTTTTGTTCTTTTTAAAGTAATATTATGTCTTCGTCGCTTTCTATCAGAACGTAGGGTAATGAAGATTTTCTTGTAATAATATTTCCCTTGATTATTACTTTATGCCCTTTGTGGATAAGGCCATCCATATTGAATTTTCTAATCTACACTTCTACTTTGACTCCACCATCGGTAATACTTCCAACGTGTATATTTTGATATTTGGTTTTAAGGTGTCTGAATGTATTTTTTATGTAAGCTTCAAACCCTGAAACAAATGAAAATAAATTAAAATTAATAGATAAACAAATTTTTTCTACCAAGTGTATTTAAATATTTAATTTCCAATGTTTATATTGTAATTGCAGAAGCTATTTTTATTAAATCAGAACTAAAATTGAAATAAATTTAACAAGCAATCTTTATCAACTCTGCCGTACACACTGGAAATGACTAGCTCACGTCTTATTTGAACACAGTGAGCCCTTAGCAAAGTTAAATTAGATCGATTACCCTCATATTTTTTCATTACGTACGGAATACCTATCGTTATTTTTTTTCTAGCCTCTAAAGTAAATAAATTTTAACTGAACCAGTCTTATTATATCGCAGTACCTTTAAAAAAAATAACTTAATAAGTTCGAGCTTATCAATAAATTTATTTAGGATCATAAATTCGTCTAATGGGTATAAAAAATTGATTAAATGACTTAACTCATTCACGTCATCTTTTAAACATAAAATATATTAAAATCTGTCATTACATAAATGTCAATATAAATGTAAACAAAACCAAGAATTTATAAGATATTATAAAATAAGATCATTGATCGAAATGTTTTTATGGGTATTTTTAAAAGTTGCTGTCGTCATAGCAAAGATGGAGCAAGACCAATAGGGGTTAATTTTCACAACCGTTCATGTTTTTTTTACTGTTAATACCGTATCAAACTCGTTTATATGAAGGGGAAAACTAAATCTTTCGTCCCCCTTGGGTCGATGGCAAACGACCGGTTTGCTACAAGTTATAAGTTAGAGTTGCAAATCTTTGTGCCAGAGCTAGATTCAATACGATTACGAGCAAAGATTTGAAAATTCTTGAAAAAGTTTATTTCAATGCCTTGCAATCATATCATTTCAATTTACCTGATTGCTAAAGTTTTGAGCTCACAATGCATGAAATACAATTCATTGATTTTATAGATTCAAGCTTTAATGAGTTACATATGTTCTCTAGGCCGGATGATTTGATGTAATCTTCAAATTAGGGACAGATCTATGAACATCAAAAAGTTGCTATTTGTTTAATCTCAATAAATAATTATATTTACTTGAACTTATATCACTAAGCAGTTTTTATATTCAAATTTATAAAAATCATGTTACAAGTGGAAGAAAAGCAATAGATTGTATCGTGACAGGTGTATCATTGATATTTATGCGAGTGCTATAAATCTGCTTATGAGTGACACGATGATGTTTTCTATTTTGACGAAGGAATTTGATCGTTTCGAGTACAAGTCCAATTCGGTAAACGGACCGCAGTCGATGAACGAGCACAATTAAATTCCGGTATCGATTTTCAAAGTACGTACGTTGCGTAGCGGCAAATCATGGCACATATCGGAAACGATGATCATGAGGTCGATTATCACCGGAAAGAAAAAAAAAGTCGAAAGTCGACCTCCGCGGAGAACAATATATAAGTGTATAATCAGTCTTAACGCGCTTTGAGGAAGGAAAAATATTAAAGTCGAAAAATGCGCTACGTGGCGTATAAGGTCTGCGGCAGTTCTTCGTAAATTATACGGCCGAGTCACACCTTAGCTTTCCTCCTTCTCGCGATCTCCTTATTAGCCCGAGCAGAGAGAGAGAGAGAAAGGAGAGACCGTTTAATAGCCAACGATCGAAGAGCGAGCTCGAGAGAGGGACCGCCAACGAAGCTGCTTCATACAATCGATTTATGATTTACGCGCTCGGCCTGCGTACTCGTAGTTCTTTATAATCGACGGGCTGCCTGCATACGTGCACGAGTAAAGATCTGTAATGTGATCACGAGGATGATGATGCGCGCGCGGGGAAATTCTCCGCTATCGCGCGTTCTGCATCTGTTATATTCTGCAGCGCGTACCCACGCGCGAACCAGCTCGTACATTAATTAATCGAGCTGTAATTTTTCATCGCAATGACGATGATCGCTGGCACGCTTAATAGACAGGATTGGTTTTTTCAATCGACCAAGCAGCCTGTATATTAATGACTTACAAAGTGTCTTTGACTCTAATAGACAAAAAAGCCGACTCTTTTCTCATCCTTTTGAATATTTCAATTTTATTGCTCGAGCAATAACGGCGCCGTGATTCATGGCCTTTTCTTTCCTTGCGTTCTTTATAATTCAACATAAAAGATGTGTATCATCGCCAACAGCTTGGCTTTTTATTTTTCTTCAATGGCTCACTTAGCACTTGTTTGATTTTTTTTTTCAAAATCGCTTTTACTCGGTCACATATTGACGCATATCGACGTGCGCGCGACCTTTCTCAAATTACTAAAGCGACTTACACCTCGTTACTTCTCAACGTTATTTAAATTCGACGTTCAGTCGTAAATCAGAATGGGCGTCTGTATTGCACAAAGGGTATCCGCAAGTCGAGGAAATTCTTCTTATAAATAGGAGGCGCGAAGACGTGTGCCTCGATTTTTATTGCCGGCTCGAAAGAGGAAACTGACATTTCTTTTTCTCGAAACTGCGTAAGCGTCGAGAATCCGTGATTTTAAATGTGTCGTGCGTGTCCGAACAGATGCTAGCGAGACACGAAAAAGATAAGAATGCATTATTGTAGTCACGATAAATAGCCTCGTAGCGGCTATGGGATACGATGGTAGATTGGAAAAAGCAGCGGGAGCCGACGGTATGTGCATGCTCGGAGCCATGCAGGTAATTTGCATTGTCCAGCTCGTAGGAAGGATAAAGAAATACAATCAGCAAGAGCACAAGCCAAGAAGCTTATTATACGTATACGCAGCTTTGGCGTCTGCTCGGGCAAAGGTGCGCGCGGGTATAGGCTAGCTGTATAGCAGCAGGTGTAAAGGCCACGCGCCCGCCTCGATCGCTGAATAAAAATCTCGAAGCAGCAGGCTTTGACAATGCGCAAATACGAATCGCCCGTGGCTGGCTCAGCTCGCACGTAATATAATTTCGAATTTCCTCGGAATCGCTGGCTGTGCGCGCGCTCTAATATTACATTACGCACGTCCAGTTTCGCGTCTCATTCTTCTCGAAAGAAATGCCATATAGCTCTGCACATATAATACACTCGCATATACGGGCCAACGTGCAGGCGAATGCGCGACATATGCTCGCGCTGGCTCACTTGTGCATGTGCAGCGCGGCTCTTTTTCCTTTGCGCACATGACGCATGCACGTATATAGGCACATACTTCATTTGAAACGTATAATTTCTTACATGGCAGAAATCGAATTAGAAACCGCAACCCTTTAAAAAAATTTTTCACTGTACAGCTCGGCAACGAGGAGGACGCGCTCGAGTAGCGATCGTACTTTTGCCTGCATGGGCTCGAGTTTTCAAAACAAGCCTCGTGCATCAACGAGTAAATAATTGCCGTCTCCTTAAAAGTGCGGTTCACCCTCAATTACGATTAATACAAAAATTAGCTCGCTCTTTTCTTATCGTCCGATATGCAGAGTTTTTACCGGAGCAAAGTATTTTACTTTGAATTTTTAATGGCAATTTTCAAAGTTTGTCGTGCGGTTGCGCGCGCTACCTACCCCTTTGCTGCCTGTCGTTCTTTTTTTTTCTTGCAGCGCACCACTGCATGCTACTCTACATGCCAATTTTTAAAGTAGCTCTCCCTGCCTCTCTCTCTCTCTCTCTCTCTCTCTCTCTCTCTCTCTCTGTCTCGCGGCTCGCGATCGATAAATCAATGGTTTTGGTCGGAAATTTTCCACGGGGCTCGTCTGCCTGCGTGTCTGCGCCGCGACCATTCCGCAAGGAAAGTTTTTTCTTAGATTATATACCTCGTGCATGGAACTTGTTTTGAATTTTATCAGGCGTGCTTTCATCCGCTGCGCGCGCTGCTACGTATTTATTTGCACATATTACATATCACATACACAGGTAGGCGCTTGATAAATCGATTTCGATATACCGATGTACACGGGTGTACTCGGCGAGTAGCTGACGTAATGTCGCACACAAACCGCATTTGAGTGTATCGCGCGAGCAGCCAACGACTCGACGGCGCACGCACAATTACATCGATTTGAATAACTTACGAGTTGCATTCCTCGTCCATCGTTGCTCGTCGCCGACGTCTCTCAACGCGCTTTTCGCCTTAAATTTTACGTCTATATTTTTCGGACTATTTTTATTGAATAATTGAACGTAATCGCGCGGTGCAGCTCACCCGAGCCGATGATCAATTGCCACATGCCGAGTTCTCGGTAATTCACAGCTCGCGATCGCGCACCTACTCATTACTTAGATAACAATTTCATTTGGCAAGGTAATAACGAGTCGTGTTACGAACGACTCGCTTGATCGCAAACGCCAAACGAAATGCACTTGCTTATTGGGCCGTGCGGGTGGATTTTAAATAACCCACAGCCTCGCACTCGTTGCATAATTAACACGTGTGCCGCCTATACGCAACGATGGAATTGATTTTTTTTTGTTTTTGTATAATTTCGAGTCCGAGCAGACGTTGGCAGAACAATGAAAGCCGCAACGGTCGGCTCGTTGTTTACCTAATGCCTGTTGCGAGCCGTTGTCGCCGGCGAAACACACGCGGTGCGTAATTAGCTTTGAAAGATTGACGAGAGCAAGTGTAGGAGTTGATATATATTTTCTGCAATGTGCGACTAGCGCAGCAGTAGCAGACCGCGCGCATGCATATTTCAAAGATAATTCAGAGCTCTGGCTTTGTTATTATTATGGAGGTATATAGCCGAGGCGCAGGCGGTGAAACGATGATGATCGCCAGTGCTACACGAGCGGGGGAAAACGAGGAGAAGAAAAAGACAATAGGTGAACTCGTTACGTCGACGCGTCTGCTACCTAAGCACACGACAATTTGTCGTTTTAAAGCTCTCTCGGGCTAGAGCGCGCGACAATAGACGCCACAGAGATAATGGAAAACGGGGTTAGCCGTGTAGCGTGTGCCCGTAAAAAAAGATCGACTGTCGTTAAGCGCTCGTGTGGTCTCTCGCTGCTGCCGCTGCCGCTGCTGCTCTGTGTACACAAAAGACCATTTTCTCCGCAATGCCAAAGTGCATGAAAAATCTGGCCGTTGTTCTTGCCAGTTTATAAGCCAAGCTGAATTATCGAGCTCCGAGGTATCGAGCCAAGTGCGGGGCGTGAGCCGCCGAGCCAATGATCGGCCTCGGTGGGCGGCGCTCGGGCTCTGCTTTCGGCTGCACATCCCCCCTCTCGGCGATTCCTGCGTGCATTACGTGCCTCCGCCGAAGGTGCGCAACGTCGCCTCTCGAGACTCGTTCGATCAGGCCGGGAAAACAGCGCGAGGGTAGAACGCGTTCAAGGGGTTGCTCGCCTATACTCGAGCCGTATTACGCGTGTATACATGTGTGCAGCGGCTCGACCATGTGAATTTGCTCCCGAGCTAGGGATGTGCACGCACTGTGCATGTAATATATAATAGCGAGGCTCGCGTGACGAGGCTCTCTCTCAGCTCATATATTGTATTCGCTGCATAGCGTCGTCAATTACGCGGATAAGTATACACACGAGTTTCTGGCTTGCTGTGTTACACGCAAATACACACGAGAGTCCATGTGCGAAATATGTCAGTGTGGCTCGTTTTGCTTTTCGCCAAATTGAATACGTTGATGCTGATAAACAAATTAAGAGGATGAACGAGCTCGAGGAAATATCGCAATTAATGCCATACGTCGGATCGCGTGTCCCCCGAGCGCCTGCGAGTAGTATTAAGTCATAAAAGTCCCTCGACGGTGTCGGATCCGACAGCTTGGATCACGCTATTAGAGTCACAAAATCCTGCGTATATGCCCGGAGATCGAGATCACCTTAAACGACTCGACGCATCAAAGACGATACACCGACCGTCGAGAGCACTACTTGTACTCTCGCGGATCTGTATAATAGCCGACTGCTCGCCGCTGGAAAAACAGCTCTAATGCTCGTCTAGAGTAATAACTTGGCGTCCTAAGAACCCACAACTGTGCGCGATTACACTGGCCCAGGCGCGCTCATGCCCGTGCCTTATTACACAACTTTTGCTTCCTCGAACAGGTAGGGGCAAGCTCGAATCCTCCTCGAGTTTGAGAAGAAAATTATAAGTAAATTATGACTGGTCGTAGCTGCTGAATTATCATTTTTCATTGTTTTCCAAGAAGTATACCTCGAGTACATCAAAACTCGTACGAAAACAAATAATATTACTGCAAACAAAAAGTCACTACAGCCATTAAAGAGTAAACGTGTAAATTATCATTTAAGGGATCGAACAATATTTTATCAAAGTATTTCATGGACGTAAAGAATAATGTAATATAGTTTCGTGTTGAATATTTTCATTCTATTTGATATATTAATGGAAAAATAGCACTTGAGTAGTTACGGTATAGTCGTGCAATTAAATTATTTGATTAAATTTTTTGCACGAACCCCACAGCTAATGAGCCTTATCCTGTTCAATTTATATTTTATAATATCCTGCGCGAGTATAAATATAAAGATAGATATTGTTCATTTTTAAACCTTTTAATTTGAAAAAAATATTTCATATATCAAATGTGTTATTGACCGATTGAGTATGTCAAACATAAGAAGCATCATTTTATGTACTTCAAAAATATAAACATTACTTATTCATACTACTAGCTCTATAAGAAACAAATTTACTGCTAATAGTATAGGCTCTCGTATTATAAGGTGTTGTATGCAATTAGTACGAATATGCTTTTTCAGAAAACTCTTTACAGCTCTCGTCTTCGGCTCGTACATCAATTCCCTCGTTTCTTTGAAAAAGTAAACCTGCACCCGTTGCATAATGTATTTATTTTATACATTTTTGATGAATGGGCATACTCTACTTGACTATAGAATGTATTAAAATGTTTTATTATATTAAAACATTATAACGTTATATTTGTATAAATTTGATAATGAAATCATAAAATATATCAACGCATGAATTATACTTACAGAATGAGTACATTTTTAAAAAACCTTAAAAAAAAATTTTTGTTTAATAATGCTCAAATGCTACTCATGCCAGGAGTAACACTTTATATGACATGTTATTTTAGGGTTATAGCATTCGGAAAGGACTCTAAAAGCCGTGACAATAAGTGCTATTCACGTCATGAATATCGTGCATCATATTTTGGCACTGTGTTAATTTACACTCAAGTCCCCTCTTTTTAAATACAAAAATAAACAACCCATAATAATTATGCACTACTATAATGTATTACTTATGTCTCAAAAAACGTATGATAAGTGTAAATTACAATCATGCATTGCTAAAGAAATATTTGTAAGATGAGGAAAAACCTCCAAAATTTGACGTGATTTAAAAAATAATTTTATTCAAGTACGTGACAATGGTACTGAGTTATACTTTTTTATTATAAAATGGAATATTGATAACAACTAATGTCATTTTTCATCATTACTAAACATATGAGTACTGGATATATTTTTGATGATATTTTTGGGATGAATTCAGTACATACTCGCCTAAACAGAAGAATGTCGTAGAGAACAAAACGCTTACTAAAATCAGCAGGTCTTGCTCGATACACTGGAGGATAGAAAAAAGAGTTTATACACGTAGGTATAGTTAGGTACGAAAAGAGAAAATAAGAAACGGTAGCAGCGAGCGAGCGAGCATAGGAGAGCAATAAAGGATAAGCGTGGAAAGAGCTGGCGGACGTTAAGTACTTGTCGTAAAAATTCCGCAGGGAGCTACACACTACACACTGGGAGAGTATATAATATACATTACGAGTAAGTGTGTGCGGTGGGCGCTCGACGTCATTTTGGTCCGAAGCCAGGGAGGCAGCCGGGGCGGAGCTCGGGCCCCGAGAGGCCCCGCCCAGCCGCGCACAACTGCACGAGGTGCGAGCATCGGCTGGCTTTGATGTCGCTCCCTCTCCTGCTCGCTCGACGCTCTTATCCGGCCGCTCTCGTTCACACCCACTGGGAGTGGGTGCGCATGCGCGGACTCGTGCCTCTTTGACGTTGTTGTCTCGACGATCCGCAACTCCGACTAGCATCAAAAGGTTTTCAGTCTCGAGCACGAGTAGACTACTCGTGCAAAATTTGCTCGCTCACACACGCATTTCTTTCTTTTTCTCTTTCTACCTTTCTTTCTCTTTCTCTCTCTCTCTCGGTCTCTCTCTCCCTTTTTCTCTCGTGCTCTCGCGTGTCGTGCTCTCGTCGCGTATTTCTCTCTGGTAACTCTCCTCCACTGTCAATCGCGGCGAGGATAAACTCTAGCCATCTTCTGCTCGAGTGTGCGAGCTGTGCGTGATCAGTGTGCCAAACAGTGTCCGAGTCGCAGACGACGCAAGAAGATCTCGTTTGGTGCGTCGCGAGTGCTCAACCAAGTGTACGTACATGTCATTCGCGTAGCGAGATATCTCGTCCTGGACGATGCCATCGTCCGCAGCGATCAAAGCAGGACGACTCGCGAGGCAAGTGTCGATGCCGAATCGAGTGTGAATATCTCAGTCGGGTACGTTGGCTTTGGCAATCGATCGGGTGTGCTCCCCCCCACGAGTGCTCAGTGACGAGTGCGAGAAAGTGTCATTTTTACCCGAAAACATTCTCGATAACGACGCAAAACTGGTGTGCTCGGCGATAAGAGCCGTCGCAAGCGTTTCGCCGTCGGGCAGCATGTGTAGCACCGAAATGAGCGAGGCGGCGGCTTACACAATGTCACCGGGCGCGGCGACCGCCAGCAGCAGCGCCAACCCCGGTGCTTGCGGCCTGGTGCGCTCCCCCCAGAGGCCTGTGGCCAGCGCGGCCACCAGCAGGAACTGCTCCTCGCCCCAGCCACCCCAGCCGCCACAGCCGACGTCGTCGAGAACCAACAACGACCTCGACGACGACGAGATCTCGGTGGGCTGTCCTAGTCCGCTGCCGCTGGTCGTCGGCAGCAGCAGCCAGCACAAGAGCAGCAGCGCACCGAGGCAGAGATCGGTCAGTCCGTGTCGGGTGTCCAGTTACCAGGGCGACGACGAGGACGAGCGATGCTCGAGAGACGAGGAGTACACGCGGGACAGGGAACAGCGGCGGATCAGGTCGCTGGGCTCGTCGCGGCGCCACAGCAGCGCGGAGCTGTCGGGGCTGCGAGAGATGGAGGACGAGGACGACATCGACGAGGACGACGACGACGAGGCGGTGGCCGACGAGGAGCAGCGGCGAGCTCGGGGCAACGGCGCCGACGACTACTTCAAGCCCCTCAAGAGGCTGAAGATGGTGCAAGTGGCCCAGTCGGAGGACGAGGAGGAGAGCCGGGAGCGCGAGAGCTCGGCCAGCGAGCGAGGCGTCAAGTCCTTCAGCATCATCGACATCCTGTCGCACCGGCCCAAGGCGAAAATCGTCCGGCCTTGGGACACGGAGGAGCAGAATCACAGGCACGAGAACAGCCACCCGAGCAATCACCAGCACGGGCTGCATCAGCACCACCAGCACCATCACTCGGTGACGGCGCACTTCGGCCACGGTGGTCCGCGAGATCTCTCCATCATGGGCATGTCGCTGGCCTCGATGTCGGGCTCGATAAGCGAGCCGCCGCTCAGCAGCTCCTCCAGCTCCGGTCGAAGTTCCGTCTCGGACTCGGGCAGTCCGGACCCGCTGGTGCATCATCACCATCACCATCACCACCAGCATCATTCGCTGCACTCGGGCATGCATCACTCGAGCATGCAGCAGCAGCAGCAGCACCATCACCACCAGCTCAAGAGGAAAAGCTCGCACCAGCACGGCTCGCAGTCGGGCCCCAATGGAAAGAGAACCCCGAGCCAGGGAGGAGGTCCGTTGGACGCCCTCTTTCAGATGACCAGTAAAACTTTTGACGCCGGCGAGCACAGCCAAGGTACGTTTCACCTCCAATTAGTAAACATTGATGCTCGGCCTCACGTGGCTTATTAAGCTTTGGTCTCGTTTTCCATTTAACGATAAAACGTAAGAATTCCTTATGTATCAGTGGGAATCCGACGAAAGATGTATGTAACCGAATGAAAATAGAGGCAGTGCTTTGTGGGCTTGTAAATCTTAATATGAAAATGAGCACCGAATCCGAATTAAATCTTTACTGAATCTCGGTCAAAGACACGTCGGTCGTAAATCACGACTTGAGATCTACAAGAGTTGATTGGTTGAATTTGATTGAATCCAGATCCAATCAGTAAATCCTGACTATTCAAGACGTACAATGTCACACGCGTACTACGTACTGTCTTTTGTAATATACAACCGTTTTCCACCCAATTAAATTCCGAGTACACATAAAAGCACTGATTGTCATGTAAAATCAGTAGCTAAGTCTAACCAGTCAATAGAAATGCAATGGGAACCGATTGACTACTTAACCATGCCTGCCTTTATATTTGTACTTTCTCTTCTTGACTTTACATGAATACTGCACTGTATTACTTAAAATGGAGGCGATGTAGTTTTTTTTTATTTATGGCTCTATTCACTCTTGGCCTGCAGCTGTGCAGCAGCAGCCATCGAGTTTAATGATATTTCGGACGAGGCGCGTGTCCGTTCACGTGAGCTTCGATTAATTAGCCTAACGCGTTGATTTCGGGAGCCGATAACGGCGACAAAAAAATGTTTGATCGAAACGACCGGGGACATTTGCATAAGGCGCGCGTTAACGACAGCGCGAAGGTACGGCTTCCGTCGGCAGTCTGTCAGCCGATATAAAATTTACGTCAGGTTGAATAAGCTGTATTGCTGAATTCGGTGTTTCACCAATTTCGAGTATTTGCTCTCGCGCCGTAAGGTCGAATATCGGCAAAATTCAGGCCAATAATGATAAAAAATTGAAGAAATAATAGGATCGATGATTAGCTTTTATACAGAAGAGTAATTTTGATTTTATAGTCGTATATATATATTGGCGCTCGCGCCTGCGCGCGGTAGAGTACAAAGCCCCGTGTTCCGAGAGTTACTTTCACACGCCACTACTAGCTATTCATTCCTCGGCTCCCTTTTGCTTCCTCTCTTTCTCTTTTTCTCTCTTTCCTTCTCTCTCTCTGCTTCTCGCTCGCTCGCTCAAGACGCGGCGGCGGCGTTGTATATTATATTCAGGATCGCAAGGGCAGAGCGAGCATCATCTCGCGGCTGCCGTATTTTTCCCATTTCATATTTCGCGGTTGCGAAAATGGTCGAGGTTCTCTGCGCCGCGCACAAAAATCGTCCAATTCGATACGTGTTTCCATTAAAGGGAATTGCATTTACGATATTCAAATTATTGGATTACGCGATCGCGAGCGCAGGAGAGGCTGCTGCGCGAAGGAGGGACTGCGCTGCATGGGATAGAGCTTAGCAGCGATGATATCGATCGATCTTTATAATATTCATGCAATTGACTTGTGGTTTATGGTATATATGCGCTCGTCGCGGCGCGGCACGACACGCACACACTCGAGCGCACGGTAGCCTCCACGTTTTTGTAATTTACCTCCTCTCATTATTATATTCTCTCTCTCGTCGAGTCATAGCATCGTATATACATGCGCGCACAGCACAAACCCACGAGCAGACCCTTAATAATCCTGCGGCGATGGTCTTTTACTCGAAACTCCCTTAGATATATACCGCTCGCACACACACATACGGCAGCGGCTTTTTGAGAGCTGCCAACCTGTATAGAAGCGCACCGGCTACATTATCTCGGCAGCCGCGCGTATTTTTCATCTTTCAATTTTTTCCTTCGTTCCTTGAGCGCCCGACACAACACAGCAAGTGTGCGTGTGAATAGAGTCTTCACCGCCCGTAATGTATCTTTCAGTGGTGCAATATTGAAAGCGAAAAAATTACCTTTTTTTCTATTCTCTTTCTCTCTCACGAGCGAGAGGAGGTGTAAATTCGAAAAAAATAAAAGGTGTCAATGGGAATCGTTTGAAAACGGACACGCGCTCAAAGCGACACTATATATAACACGCGCTGCAGTCGAGCAGCAAAAGAAGTCATAGCTCGAGCAGGTATTTTTCAAGCAAAGGCTATTTTTACCCACTAACAAGTATCAATCTCGTAAAATAGACCACATCCAATTATGCTAATACAAGTTGCGCTAAATATTCCGATATCCACGTGCATATGTGGGAAGTTCTATACATGAAATTAGCTTTTCTTCTTTTGAAAACCAATTAGACTGATAACGTAAAACGGGGTATTAGTTGCATACGCACACACGTATTTACGCGCCTTCCTTTATACTCGCGTTACCGGGGCTGCTGCCGCCACGACTCATTAACACCTTAGGAAAAAAACACACACTAGTACAGAGGTTGTTTAGCTAATTAAAAAACGCCCGACATAACGCGGCTACGAGAGAATGGATTGGAAACGATGTATTTGGCTGGACGAGTCGGCTCACGACTCCGGGCCAATATAATGCGCGCGAGTAAATATATAGGCAGTATATACGTAAATGCGCGTATAAATATAATAATATTATGCGAGCGCGAACGACGCGTCAAAGACAGGAAGATGTCGGTACGAGTGAGCCTCGTAATTAAGTCATTTTTCATGCATTCAATACTCGCGGCCGTTTACTTACAAGAAGTGCACTCATCGATGTTTACGGATATATGCATGTGTGTGTGCGAGTGTGTACGCGAAACGGCAGTCGTAAAAGGCTGCTGTTACACGTAATAAGTATATAAGCAGCAGGCAGTAATGATACTCGGCTTGAAACCACACGAATCGAAATAAATGAACGTGAAAGTGAGACGTGCTCTACTCCTTCTTTTTAGCTTTGCCAATGCCGGATTTTCTAGGCGTTTTAGTGGATCATCAGTGGAATTTCCGAATAGATTATCGATCCAATGATGCGAACGTCGGTTTTCGGTGACATTTCTGTGGCAGCTCTCAGCGGGATCACTCGACATTCGACGAGCCATCATCGCGTGCTGAGATTCGGTTCGATCGAGTCTCTCCTCGCTATGGACTCGGGCGCATCAATTTAATTTATTATACTTGGCTTTCTCGGCATTTGCCGGACGCGAAGCCTCGTAGCAACTACTGGTCTTGCGGCTATCCCGTTTTTGGTGGTCGCCGTTGCAGCCTGGCCACTGGGTGCACCGACGCCGCCGCCGACCTATAAAGGCTGTCTCATTACTTAAAAAATTACAGCGTTTTTGAGAGAGCTCCGAGATCGGATTTTTTGCTCGCTCGTTCTTGGGACTGCGCTCGACTGCGCGCCACTTAACAGCTCATGCAAATTTCGGTCCAAAATCGAGCTCTGCTGCTGTTGCTACAGCTACTGCCTACGTATACATACTGCTACTATATTGCTCACACGCACGATCGGCCGTTTTATCGCCGCTATAAGCTGCGCGGCTAATTGGATTTCTCTTGTCGGGATAAAAATTTGTTTCCTCGCCGATTTTTCATGCGCCGCGAGGTAATAAAGTTGCTATTCGATGAAAATGACGAAAACGAGCCGTGGCGTGCCGGGGGTAGACGCAAACTCAGACTGATCGTTCCTGGCGGGCTGCGGCGTAAATCTTTTGTCGCCTGGCACAGCCACCGCATAAATACGACTTAGAGCGAGCAGATTTACGGCTAATTGAGAATTATTCGATTCTCTCCTCTCTTTCTCTTTCTCTTTCTTTCTGTGGCAGCAGCAGCAGCAGCAGCCGATATAGGCGCGCGTGCAAAGCTTACATTATCGCAGAGGCTCGGCTTTCTCTCGAATTATAATACTTTTTACTCATTGTCTGGCTATGGGAGTAATTTGTCGCGCGGTAGCTCCGATGGATTTAGCTAATCGCGCGGCGCAAAGTAGTACATTTGTTAGGAAGCAGCTCGCGGCGGACTCGGGCGGGCGCGCATTGTTTGACGAGGTGCGCAGATCGGCTGCGCCTAGAGCCCCTGCACTATAACTACAACAACGTAGCGCTTAGCTATAGAGAGAAAAGCCGCGATGACGTCCAGCAACGAGCTTGGCCGTTGCATGCGTGTAGACTGCGATCGATATTCCGCGCGCCAACTTGCCAGCTCTGTGTGTATGTGTGCTGTGTGTGTGCTAAAGTCATTAGCCAATGCAGCGTTGCTACTCGGCGGCCAACGCGCTCAAAGCTATTTGCCACGCGAATTTTAATGCGCGCCGAGCACATGGGCAGAGCACGAAATGCAGCGTATATATATACCGAGCTACCTAGCAGCGCACACATATACAGCGTAATTACGGCTATATAAGCTCGGCTCTTTTATTTTTTCCTCTCTCTCTCTCTCTCTCTCTCTCTCTCTTTTCTTTTTGTTCTTGCGAGCATTCAGCGAGTTCGAGTTTCGTGAAGGCGCGTGTAAATATTGTTTGAATAATAAATAACGTAATTTTGCTGATGCGCTGCTTTTTCCCGAAACTTTTGCGTGCGCGCGATTGTTTATTTTTTATATAGTATTTATGTTTATTCCGCAATTTGTGCAGACTGCTACGTGGCCCCGCTTGCATATGTAGCGTGCGCGCGATTAATTCGCCTAGGCCAGCGATATAATTCGTACGTATAATGCCGGTCGCATTTGAAACGCGATAATTCGAGCGAGTCTTTCACGGCCGATATTATTCAACGAGATCGAAACGCTACTCGTAAAGATTCGCAAATTTTCTCGGTATAAAAAAATAAAGGAAGAAGAAAAAACTTGTCTCGTATAAAATGTGTAAAAGCTGAACTTTGCGTCTGGGGAGCGCCCGTTAAAAAAGCATCGCGTACACAATGGAGCCGCATGAATCACGGCGTTAACGCTTATTTCGCTGCAGGCCGACAAAGGCAGATTATAAGAGAGCAGTCACAAACGTGCGCGTACACGAGCCAATATAGGCATTTCAAAGTGCCTCGCCAACGCACGTACGTTTATACA